CTGGAACTCACTATGTAGACCAGGCTGGCCTCAACTCACAGAGATCTGCCTGCCTCTGCCTCCCAAGTGCTGGGATTAAAGGCGTGCGCCACCACGCCCAGCCAATTTTTACTTTTAAAGGCACTGTGGGGGGCTAGGGAGATGGCTCAGTCAGTAAAGTGCTTGCCACGCAAACTTGAAGACCTGAGTTTAGGTGCCCAGCACAAGTATTAAAAGGCAAGTGCAGTAGCATGCACCTGTATTCCCAGGAAGGCAGAGACAGGAAGATCTGTGGGTCTTACTAGCAGGCCATTCTAATTGAATTGTTGAGCTCCAGGTTCTATGAGAGACCCTGTCACCAAAAAATAAGGTGGGGAGTAATTGACAAAGGCATTTAGTTGCCTTGTTGATTTGCTTTTGGTTTTGGGTATGGGTGTTTATTTGTTTGTTTGCTTGTTTGTTTGTGGTCTTTTGTTATCTACCCCCCCAACCTAGGTCCTTGCCCTTTCTAGGCAAGTACTGTGCCATGGAGCTAAATCCCCAAGGCTGGCCTCAAAAGACATCTAAATCAACCTCTGGCCTACACCTATGCATGTACACACAAACATGGGGACACACACAAAAGGCACTCTACATCTCATTATGGTTGATTACATGGGTGCATTTTTCAAAAACTCATCAGAGCATCTTTCTGCCAACTTTCATGTTTTCTGGTATATATAAGTTATATAGATAAGGGGCTAGGGAGATGCCTCAGTTGGTAGTACTTGCTATGTAAGCATGAGTGCAGTTACCAGCACCCATATAAAAAACTAGGCACTGCAGTGAACACCTGTAATATTAGCACCTGGAGAGGCAGAGACAGAAGAATCCTTGGGTCTTACTGGCCAGCCAATAAGGAATTCAGTGAGCTTCAGGTTCAGTGAGACACCCTGCCTCAGAAAATAAGTGGAGACTGAGGAAGACATCTGACATTGCTCTCTGGCCTCCATACACTCTCACATAAATGTACACACACATGAACACACAACCCAGAGACAAAAAGTTATAACAGTAAGTGACCTACTCTTAGTTCTAACCATTTCACGTCTCAGATTATGTCTTGTAGATTAAGTTGAACAAAAATACTTTATATTCTCAGAGGTGCCTTGAAGATGTTTGTCACAAGAAGGTAAAATTTCCTAAGACTAGTTAATGGGACTGGTATGGAGTGCTGGCCGCTGTAGGGGAGGGGCTCACTGCCTGAGCTCTAGGTCGGGGAGCCAGGTGCCTGGATCTCTGACATGATCTTGTCTTTGTGAATTGAGCCTCAGTGCAGACACATCTGGGAGACACTGGTATGATACTCTTCAGAGTAATTCCTGGATGGAGTGGAGCATTAGCAGGGTGAGCCTGTGTTCACATACTGGCATATGAGTAGCCTAAAAAAATCGGAGCATCGGGGCTGGAGAGATGGCTCAGCGGTTAAGAACACTGGTTGTTCTTGCAGAAGACCCGGGTTTGAATCCCAGCACCCACATGGCAGCTAACAACTGTTTGTAATTCTAGTCCCAGGGGATCCAACAGCCTCTTCTGACCTCCTCAGGCATTGCATGACACAGGTGCACTTACCTACATGCAGGCAATAGATGCATACACATAAAATAAAAATAAATAAAAATTTAAAAAATCAGAGCATATCTTACTTTATCATTAAAGACAGAATGTAGTCAAGAGTCATTTGTCCTTTGTTCTTCCTCTTCAAGACACACAATTGACAGTGGAATTCCTTTGGGGCTGGATCTAGTAAGAACAAACTTCATTTTGGTCCTTAGCTGTCTTGCATGCAGTTCATCCCAGATAGTTTTCTCTAGGAAATCCATGATCATTTTGGTCTCCCTACTCTAACCCCAACTTGGAGGAAGGGCCTGTCTGTGAGAACAAAGCTGTGAATGCTGGGTTGGCTAGGAGGGGCAGCCTGGACAAGGGACAACCTCAGGTTGCAACTGGAGCTCCTCTGGCCCAGGACATGGGCCTTCTGCTCACTTGTTTTAAATGTGACACAAATGATGATTACTGCAGAAAGTAAGGGTCTACATAAATAAGAAAATAAAAACCACCCAGCCTTTTACTATCTGCTGTGTGTCTGTGTAAACTTCTTGTGCAATGCGCCGTATGTTTGTGCTTTTACTTTTTAAAATGTCATAACGGGGGCTGGAAAGATGGCTCAGTGGTTAAGAACACTGGTTGTTCTTGCAGAAGACCCGGGTTTGAATCCCAGCACCCACATGGCAGCTAACAACTGTCTGTAACTCCAGTCCCAGGAGATCTGACAGCCTCTTCTGACTTCCACAGGCATTGCACAACATGGGTGCACTTACCTACATTCAGGCAATACATGCATACACATAAAATAAAAATAATAAATAAAAAAATTTTTAATGTCATAACATAGCCATGTGTGGTGGCACATGCCTGTAGTCCCAGCACTTGGGAGGCAGAGGCAGGCTCTCTGTGAGTTCAAGGCCAGCCTGGTCTACATAGTTCCAGGACAGCTCAGGCAAATAAATAAATAAATAAATAAATACATAAAATAAAATGTTTTGATGTATGTGGCTGTGGGATCTGTATTTCTTATCTCACAACTTGTTCCTCTTTCTGTGATCACCAACTATACTTATAAAGAATTTTGTTCTTTTGTTGCTTTTTCCATTCTCTGAATGGAATCCAGAGCCTTGAACATTATATGCTGTACCTCTGAACTGCATCTCCAGTTCTTTATCACTGCACATTTTCTCCATCCCTCCCTCCCAGTGTTCTTCCTTCCTTCCTTTTCTCCCTCCTTGGTTGTACTGGGGCTAGAATCCAAGTAGAATCTTCATGCTTACGCACTGAGTTACACTCCAGCTGCCCACCCCCCCCCCCAAAGCCACCTTAATCATTCCTTCATGCTGAGATGGGTCTCTGGAAAGTGATCTTTGGCATATTCTTGAGTAATCCTTAGGCACCAGATTGCCAAATGCTCTGAGGCTTTGGATGGCACTGTCCTCTCCAAATCACTTCCTTCCTTGGCAGCAAATGAGAGTTCTGTTCCCTGTGGTCAAGCAACAGGCTCATCCTGGGTATGTGCTTATTTGTTAATTTGGGGGTGGGGGTGGTGTTTGATGTCTTTTGTTGTTTGGGGAGGGGGGAATTTTTATTTATTTTTTTGGTCTTTTTGAGACAGGGTCTCCCTGTAGCCCTAGTTGGCCTGGATTCACTATGGAGAGCAGGGTGGCCTCAGACTCACAGAGAGCCACCTGCCTCTGGATTAAAGAAAGGTGTGCGCCACCACACCCGGCCTTTTTTATTTTTTGGTCTTTTTTGAGCTGTAGTCCCAGCTGGCTTGGAACTCACTATGTAGACGAGGCTGGTGCTTTTGTTTTTTGAAACAAGTTCTTACTATATATCCCTGGCTGGCCTAGAACTCTCTATGTAGACTAGGCTGGCCTCAAACTCACAGAGATCCACCTACCTCAGTCTCCTGAATGATGGGATTATAAATGTGAGTCTCTGTGCCTGCCATATTTAGTTACTGTAAATCTGAACATTTTCATCCACCAACCTGGCTCCTTGAGGTTAATCAAGCTCCCTTGATTGGTTCTTCTCAGTAGTACCTAGCCTCATGGTAGGGGATCCCACACACACAAATTATTTCCCAGCTGTGACTGTTTGAGCCATGCCTGCCTGTTATCTGCCTGTGAATAATTGCCACCTTTTTTCTCAGTAGGACCTGGGGCTAGCCTGAGTCTTCTAGAAATGGCAGGCTATGTTTGGGACATGCTTTTGGAGTCTCTTCACTCTGAAATGCAGTGCATCTCCTCCTTCCCATCTGTACCCTTCTTTTTTGTACTTTTCTGTTCTCTATGTATGAGGATGTGTTGGGAGGGGAGTAGGTGAGTTTTGGCTCACTGGGTGGATTCTGATTGTGGCGCCTCCTTCAAAGTGGACTCAGAATGAAAGGCAGATTCACAGTGTTGTTAACCTTGTGTGGTAGACAGTGTGTTCAATTTAGCCCCTGTTGGAGAGCCTATAACAGTGTCCCTGGCGGGATATTTGGAGCAGATGGAGACAGCCCAGAGCTGAGCTCCCAGTAATTGGTCTCTAAGGGATGTGATGGGAAGGACCCTGTAGCAAATCCTACTTTGCTTGGCTAGAGGGAGCCTTCGCCAAAAACTGCTTCTTGAGTGACTGACATCCTGCTGTGCAAGTTTGGAGCTGGAAAACTCAGATGCCTCCATTCAGCCCCAGGTCCCGCTGGGGTACAGTTTGCTGAGGTCTCTTGGCCCTCTAGTGAAACTCTGTGGCTCTTTACTCTCCCTTCCCCCCCGAAAGCCCAGACCTGTATGTGTGACTTAGCCTATGTGGCTTTTGAGAGATTTCAGAATAATGCGCGTGACAGCCTAGAGAAAAAAAAATGTTAAAAAAGTCAGTTCTGTTGTAGCCATGTTCTCAGGGGATGGAAGGGAGTAGTGTTTTTCCACTAACAGAAGGTATCCTTCCTACTGCTCTCATGTTGAATGGCAGGTGCATTTCCTACCTACAGGTCATGGTCATGCTAGTGACCTGAGGCATGAGCCCAAACATGCCTGTATGTAACCTCTATCTTCCTTGCAGGGGATCCTCCTGGTGTACGACATCACCAACCGTTGGTCCTTTGATGGCATTGATCGGTGGATCAAGGAAATTGATGAGGTAGATGTGGGTCTGTACCCCTCCAGGGGAGAGCCTTGGACCATACTATGCTTGGGTCATGCCTGAGAGTGCTGCCCACTCTAATCTTTCCCTAGCCACTGTGATGTTCAGCAGTAAACAGCTGGGCTTTGCTATCCACTAGGTCCTACCCAGACCTTCCTGGGCTTGTCCCATTACAGAATGCAGACAGTGGGGGCATTGCCTACGGCCAAAGGGTGGGTGTCCTCTGATTATGCCTTTGTTGAGTTCCAAACCTCCCTAAGCATGCACCTGGTGTTCCTCGGATCCTGGTTGGGAACCGGCTGCACCTGGCCTTCAAGCGGCAAGTGCCAACGGAGCAAGCCCGAGCCTATGCAGAAAAGAACTGCATGACCTTCTTTGAAGTCAGCCCCCTGTGCAATTTCAACGTCATTGAATCTTTCACTGAGCTCTCCCGTATTGTGCTCATGCGGCATGGCATGGAGAAGATCTGGAGGCCTAATCGAGGTAGGATTGGGGCTCAGTTCAGGCAGGGATGTGAGTGGAGTTATAAGGCCTGGGGATGGAGCCATGGGCATCACTGGTGGAGTCAGAGTAGAGGTGGCCTCTTATGATGTAGTCACCTGGGCTGCCTGTTTAGACCTAGAGCAGGTTATCTCTATCTTGCCATGCTGAGAGCAGAGCCCTGCACATGTGCCTTCACTACTCTGGGTGGTCGCAGAAATAGTATGTGCAGTTCCGCAATGTCTGTGCTATTGTCCATGCCAAGTTCTTGATCAGGAGCCCTTAACAATGGCCTCACTCTTGTGATGCTTTCCCACAGGGCTAACTGCTGGGCACAGGTATGATCAGAGCCAGCCTATGATGAAGCCACAGGGAAGAACAGGATGACTAAGTCCTTCTCTTGAGCCAGAAAAACCTCTGCCAAGTACAGCCAGGCAAGGCTGAGTTAACCTCAACTAGAGCTACAGCAGGGCTGCACTTGAGCTCCAAAGTTAGTTGGCCCTCAGTCAACCGGCCAATCCACCCCCAGTCTCATAGAGTGGCTGGGCACACTGGCCTCTGGAAGCCTATCTCCAAGCAGCACTTTGCAGTATACTCCACTCTAAAAAAGCCAGGACGGGGCTGGAGAGATGGCTCAGTGGTTAAGAGCACTGACTGCTCTTGCAGAGGACTCGGGTTTAATTCCCAGCACCCACATGGTGGCTACGAACCGTCCTTAACTCCAGTTCCAGGGGAATCTGAAGCCCTCTTCTGACCTCTGTGGCACTGCACGACATGGGTGCACTCACACACATTCAGGCAATACACTCATACACATAAAATCATAAAATATTAAATTTAAAAAAAAGCCAGGAAAGAGGAGCCACCCAGTGTGTGCTCATAAGTGGCAGAATAGCTGAGCATCCAGGAGCCTTGCGCTTTGAGACTCAGCTGGGCTTTGCTCATCCTTGTCTGATAGTGTGAGGACCATAAACCTGTGTTTCCTCTCACAAGGCTTTATTACCTGTCTGTTCTTACCTTCCTTCCCTTACCCTCCCTTCAGTTTTCAGCCTGCAGGACCTCTGTTGCCGAGCCATTGTCTCCTGCACCCCTGTGCACCTCATTGACAAGCTCCCACTGCCTGTCACCATCAAGAGCCACCTCAAGTCCTTTTCCATGGCCAACGGCATGAATGCTGTCATGATGCATGGCCGCTCCTATTCCCTGGCGAGTGGGGCCGGCAGCAGTGGCAGCAAGGGCAACAGCCTTAAGAGGTCCAAGTCCATCCGCCCCCCCCAGAGCCCCCCCCAGAACTGCTCTCGGAGCAACTGCAAGATCTCCTAGCGGGACCTGTGGGTGCCGCCTGTGCAAACTCTGGGGGCTCACACTGGGGCACTCTTGGCCAGGCGCTAGGCCCTGCTGCATGCAGGAAGACTTGGCCACACAACCCTGCCTGGATCACGCCAGGCTTTCCTCCACACCTGAGCTAGATGGAGGGGAGGGGCGTGCAGGGGAGAATGCTCCACAAACCAGGCAGCAGGGCTGCTGGTGCTACGGGGACCAGGTCTGAACCAATTGTGATCTCCAGGCCAGAAGTAGGCCTGGATCCCCTTTATTTATATGGAGAACATTTTACCCATTTTGTACATTTTTAAAGGGCTGTCAGGGAAGCCTGGATGCCCCCTCATGGCCACAAAGGCCATCAGGGAAGCTCAGGATGTCAGGGAAGGAGGAATGAGGCAGTGATGGAGGGGTTCAACGTTGAAGCCAGATGATCTTTGGATTTGCAAACACCCTATCTAGGGTATTGATGCTTACAGGCCAGTTGGAAACCGATGGGGTCAGGACAAGCTCTAGATGCTTCTGGCAGCAATCTTGGCTCCAGCTTCCATATCTGACCAAGTTAGTATGCTGAGCACAGGCAAGGGTGTGGCTCTTAAGCACCTCCTAGGAGAGGAAAGAAGTGGGTACACCTGGGAGCCCCACTTGTATCCCTCCCGACTATGCCCCGGCACTTTTGGTGATGTTTACTATATCCTCAGCATCTCCCAGTTGAGGCTGCAGGGCCTTCTGCAGACTTGAAGAACCGGATGGCCTCCAGGGGCATCTTGGCCTAGGGCCTCAGTGTTCAGCAGCTTGTACTCATCAACCTTGGCTGTGTGTTTCACAGCTGCTCCTTGCCTATTGTGGCCCTTCTGCCTAGGAGTTCATATCACTGGAATTTCTTTGACCTGTTTCTTAATGACACTACCTGGAACTGCAGCCTCAACCATGCTGTGGGCCATAGGGGTGGCCACCAAGCCCCTCCTTAGGGACCCACTAGCTGGAGCACCTTCTGAAGCCATGGACTATTCCTCCAGAGTGCTCCTCCTACCCCTGCCTGCCCTGGGCAGCCTCCTCCTCCATGGGGATGTTGTCCCCAATGGATGTCCTGTGTGACTGCTCCCTGATCCTTGCCTGTAGCCCTTGGTCACACTGGTGCTCAACTCTACCTCCTGCCCTTGGGCCCCTGGCCACAGCAGGAGCCATGAACCCTTCCTGGGGACCTTCTTAGTGCACATTTCCTAAGACCATCTTGCCATGGTTATTACTAGGGCACCAGTGGACACAGCACCACCTTGCTGTTCTGGGAGATGAGTCATGTCTATGTGGACAGGGCTATGGCTGTAGGGGCTGCCTGATAAGCAGCAGCCCCTGGGACTCTGGCCTTGTGGCTGGCTTTCATGCAGCATCACCTCCTGGCCCACCTGTCCTGTTGTTGTTGATAGAGATCTTTTCTCTAGAATTGTGAATAGAATGGTATGGACTTGAGGACCTGAATGGGCCTGCGTGCACACCATCAACACTACCCTTGCTGCTGTGGACACCATACCTGGGTTCTTTGTTCTTACTTCTTTGTACAGTAAATGTACTTCAGCTGTGAGATCATGTGTTTTTGTGTGTGTACATCAACCTGACTTTATCTGGCAATGGTGTGTTACGGAGATATGGCTGGCAATGTGCTATTACAGAACTCAGCATTGCTTTGTGCCTGCCAGAATAACCCCAGGCTCTGAGTGTCTCCTGTAGCTGACCTTGCTGACCCATATCCATCCACTGACTGGGTTCACATTCTTAGTCCTGAGGGTGGGGCTAAAGTAGCCAGGCTGGTTACAGACTGCACTGTTTCCCTGGGCCAGCATCAGGCAGCCTGCCTAATCACAGAGCCCACTAACAATTTTTCACAGCCTCAAGAACCCCTGCAAGTGGGTCCTTCACCTGGAAACAAAGTCTGGTAGGTTATGGAGGTTGTGCAGGGCCTTGCTCTACTAGGATTATATTATGCTCTGAGGGGGATGAGAACAGTTCATTTTAAATGTAGCCTCTGGCTTAGGTACCACCCACACTTCTTCCTTGGGACTATCCTGGGCTCTGTGGCCTAGCCATCCCTGCCCCCTCATTAGGCTCTGGCTCATCCACAGATCTTTTGTAAGGCAGCAGACACTGTCGCCTGCCAGCCATCTCTTGATCTCCTGGCCAGACCAGGCTCTTATTACGCTGCCTCCTGGGTCAGGAGGTCAGACAAAAGGTCACACAGACTTTTTTCCTTCCTGTCTCAGAGAAAACCACTCCCTGGGGACCTCTGGAGCCACTGAAAAGGGTTTGAAAGAACAGATTCCAGGGGGCCCCTTTGTGCTGCCACCAGCTTTGATCTCCTTGCCCTCCCCCACAGAGGCAGGGCCTCTGGTTCAGTTGGAAAACGGTTGCCATCCCTCATGGTGGGGTGTTGGGGCAGGGCAACAAATGTATGTTAGATCCCTGAGCCTGCTCTTTCCAGGGTGCACCTGGACATCCCTTGGAAACCCCTTGGGTTCCACACATCCAGTCCTGTGTGCCAAGTCACAGCCATGAGATTATGGCCAGTGCACATGGGCCAATCTGTCTTGCTCATCTGAAGGGGCTAAGTTTCAGTGGAAAAAGTGTGTCTGGGAGGAAAAGTCCTGCTGAGTCATGCCCTCAACAGTGAGCTACCAAGGCCTAATTCCTAACAGTGTAAAAAAAAAAAAAAAACAATCTTGGGCTAGAGATACGGCTCAGTGATTAAGAGCACTGGCTGCTCCTGCAGAGGGCCCGAGTTCAAATCCCAGCACCCTCACGGTAGCTAGCAAGCGACTATAACTCCAGTTCCAAGAGATCCAACGCCTTACCACCTTCAGGGGAATTGCTTGACATGGGTGTGCTTACAGGCAGGCAAACATTCATATACATAAAAAAAAAATAAAATATAAAACAAAATGAAAACCAGTCTCGTTATGTAGCCTATCTTGGCCTGGAATTTGCTATGTAGCTCTGGGCTGGCCTCAAACTCTGGATCTTCCTGCCTCCGTCTCCCCAGTGCTGGAATTATAGGTGTGCATCACCATGCCCAGTGCACTAGCAGAATCTTTACTCCAAGACTTTCTGACAGATGTGACACTTAAAGGCTTCAGGAAAGAAACAGACTCTCTACCACCTGCTAACTGAATGGAGCCCGGTGCCTTATTTATACTCATGACAGGTGCTAGCCTTGACCTGCTTTGGGGAAAACTTAGGCCAGTGGTTAGCTGGGGTTGGGATGGTTGCCTACCCAACCCCATTGCATAGGTGATTGAAGGGCCAGGGACAAAAGTTGAAATCTGCCTGCCCTGCCCCTCCTCCCTGAATAGAGGATGGGAAGGTCTTCAAGGAGACTTTGATCCCTGCTGGGCTCCAGCTTGTAGAGGGAGGGGCTCGGGTTACAGAATCCCCCTCCCTGGCTTAGCTGGCCCTTCTCCGCCCCTTGGTGACCCTAGTGGTCACTTGGTCTGAGCTTCAGGCCTCTGGCCCCTCCCCAGCTCTCCCTCCTGTTTCCTGTGCTGTGCTGACCAGAGTCTGGGAGCCACTCACAGTGGTTGGGAGAGGGCCAGGCTGCAGAGGGGCCAGTGTTTGTGGACAGGTTTTGAGAGATCCCAGATCCCAGATCTCAGGGTACCAAGAAGGAGCATCAGAAGTGGACTCCAGCCTCTAGGTCAAAGAGGGCCTAGAAGTCAAGAAGAGGGGGCCATCCCAGGCAGGGTCAAGGATCCTAGGCTCAGAACCCTAAAAGGTGGATGCCTGTAGGGAGCTCCAGCTCCATAGGACCTAAGGAGTGGCTGGTGGCCACACACCCTGACCCCCTGGCCCTGTGGTCCCCATGCCCGCCCTGCAGACACTCCTGTCTCTGCTCTTTGTCTCCGGGCTCATCCACCTGACCTCGGAGACCAACCTGCTACCAGAGCCTGGAAGCCACCCTGGTATGTGCCCCAACCAGCTCAGCCCACACCTGTGGGTGGACGCCCAGAGCACCTGTGAGCGTGAGTGCACCAGGGACGAGGTGAGCACTGCAACTCCAGGGAATCTTGGGCCCCATCCTAGCTCTTTCCTCAGTGGGGGGAGTAGACCCAACTGCAGGAGCCTATTTCCTCCAGGGTCTCCACACTCATCCACCGGGGTTTTGGGCCATGTACAAAGGGCCCAAAGGAAACCCCCATATTTACCCTCACCAGTCTGAAGAACAAGAGCATCTTCAATCTCTGGACTGACCAACTCTATCTTCCCTGCCCGAGTACCACTTTTTATGTCACGTGGACCCAGGCCTCTGACCCACACCTGCAAACAGGACCACCCTCCTGCCCTGTGGTCTTTTCCTCATATCCCAGACCAGGAAGGGAACAATGAGCTCCCAAGAGGGTAGGCCCTCTGATTGCAGAGCACCTGCCTGCACCTTGGCACACCCTTTTATCTGCAAGTGGCAGTGCTGATGAGACCTGCTTGGGGGATGCTGAGGATTCGGTGAAACTGAAAGAGATGACAGACATGGCCTTATAGCTCATACTAAACTGAAAGCATGACCTCAGCTTTCCAGAGTGGAAGCAAGCTCTGGGAGAGGCTGGGAAGGAGACAGGGTTCCACTAAGCTTTCCTTATGTCCTAGGACTGTGCAGCATCCGAGAAGTGCTGCACCAATGTGTGTGGATTGCAGAGCTGTGTGGCAGCCCGCTACCCCAGTGGTGGCCCAGCGATAACTGAGACAGGAGCTTCATGCGAGGGTTTCCAGTGCCCACAGCAGGGTTCTGACTGTGACATCTGGGATGGGCAGCCAGTCTGCCGCTGCCGTGACCGCTGTGAGAAAGAACCCAGCTTCACCTGTGCCTCTGATGGCCTCACCTATTACAACCGCTGCTACATGGATGCAGAGGCCTGCCTGAGGGGCCTCCACCTGCATGTTGTGCCCTGCAAGCACATTCTCAGCTGGCCACCCAGCAGCCCAGGACCACCTGAGACCACTGCCCGCCCAACCCCTGGAGCCGCCCCCATGCCACCTGCCCTGTACACCAACCCCTCACCACAGGCAGTGTACGTGGGAGGGACAGCCAGCCTCCACTGTGATGTTAGTGGCCGTCCAACACCTGCTGTGACCTGGGAAAAGCAAAGCCATCAGCGGGAGAACCTGATCATGCACCCGGACCAGATGTATGGGAATGTGGTGGTCACAAGTATTGGACAGCTGGTGCTCTACAATGCCCAGCCAGAGGATGCAGGCTTGTATACTTGCACTGCACGCAATGCTGCTGGCCTGCTGCGGGCTGACTTCCCCCTCTCTGTGGTGCAGCGGGGAACTGCTCGGGACCGGGCCTCAAGTGTCCTGGCCCTGGCTGAGTGCTTGCCTGACACACAGGCCTGCGTTGGGCCCTCGACCCCCTACCATGTCCTCTGGCGCTTTGACCCACAGCGGGGCAGCTGCATGACCTTTCCAGCCCTTGAATGTGATGGGGCCACCTGGGGCTTTGAGACCTATGAGGCATGCCAACAGGCCTGTGCCCATGGCCCTGGGGATGCCTGTGCACTGCCTGCAGTTCAGGGCCCTTGCCAGGGCTGGGAACCACGCTGGGCCTACAGTCCACTCCTACAGCAGTGCCACCCCTTTGTGTATAGTGGTTGTGAGGGCAATGGTAACAACTTTGAGAGTCGAGAGAGCTGTGAGGATGCCTGCCCAGTGCCACGAACACCACCCTGTCGTGCTTGCCGCCTCAGGAGCAAGCTGGCACTGAGTTTGTGCCGCAGTGACTTTGCCATTGTGGGCCGACTCACAGAGGTACTGGAGGAGCCTGAGGCTGCAGGTGGCATTGCTCGTGTAGCTCTAGATGATGTGCTCAAGGACGACAAGATGGGCCTTAAGTTTTTGGGCACGAAGTACCTGGAGGTGACACTGAGTGGCATGGACTGGGCCTGCCCGTGCCCCAATGTGACAGCTGGTGATGGGCCACTGGTCATCATGGGTGAGGTTCGTGAAGGTGTGGCTGTGCTGGATGCCAACAGCTATGTCCGTGCTGCCAGTGAGAAGCGTGTCAAGAAGATTGTGGAGCTGCTTGAGAAAAAGGCCTGTGAGTTGCTCAACCGCTTTCAAGACTAGCTTCACCTGTGATCCCAACTCCTACCCTTCTTCCCACTAAATAAATGCCTATCACTCATTTATGGGACTCACAACCTCTGGTTTCCTTCTAGCTTTCCTTACATACCCCCATCTACCTGAGGTGGGGTCCTGCCACCAGATTTGAGGTCACCAAGTAGCACTTGGGACACTCCTGAAGACCTACAGATGTCTCTCCAGGAGCATGGGAAAAGGCCTGCTTTAGCTACTGTCCCCTACCCCAAGTCTTCACCCCCTCAGGCCAGGCCCCTCCCCCACCAGCATAAAGTGTTCCCAACAGGCAGATGTGGTTGGAAGCCCCACAGTGGGACTCCAGGAAAGGTTTTATTTCAAGGCCACCCTGGGCACATTCTCTATAGCCTTGTGGCCACCAGACTAGGAGAGGCTAGTTTATCTCAAGGACTGACCCAGGGAGGCAGGGGTCTGGTTTGTGCCTGACAGAAGAGTCTCTGGCAGAGATAACAGGCACATGGGAGGAAGGAGATAGACTATTCTTTCCGGAAAATCAGGCACTTGTTGTTGGTTGGCATTTCCACCTGGAAAAATGCTTTGCTGAAGTGGCCCTTAGTCCTGGGGAGACTACCCACCCCCCAGACTACCCTGCCTACCATCCTCTCCAGGACCAAACCACTGGCCTGGCCCAATTCCTTCAGGAGGGCTGTGTCCCGAAGCCCCCATTCTGGGTTCCTGCAGTGGAGGAGGGAGGTGGAGGTCACTTCCAGAGGTGAGAGGAGGATCACCCCGTCCACCTGCCCTCTCAGCCAGGTCCCCTCCAACCCAGGTCTGACCTGCATCTGAGGGTCAGGTCAAAGTCCACGTTGCTCTGGGGAGAGATCTTCCCATTGACTGCAAAGGGCTGTGGGGACAAGGGGACACAGTCCACAGGCCCAGTGGGCCATGGGACTGATTTGCAGGCTGGGGTCCAGAGAAAGGACAAAATGGCCCCCTTATTGTCACCAAGAAGGGGAAAGGCAAGGACTAGTCGGTCAGTCTCTGGGTAATGAGAGCGCTGCAGGCATGGGAAACACCTAAGGCTGCTAGGGACCACTGTAGGCAAGAGTCACTCACCCCATAGGTGATTAGCACAGCTTTAGGTTTGAGTAGGTGTCCCGCTGCTTTGAGGAGCCCCTGGAGAGAGGGAGGCAGGACACAATAAGCTGGACGCTGGAGAACCTGGCCACCCACCCTGCAGCGTGAGGCTGGGTTCCTTCCACACCGGCTCCCACCTCAGTGCAGCTCAGGGGACTGATGTGGATCATGTTGATGCAGAGCAACAGGTCCAGCGATCGCGGCGGAATCCCGCCCCATTGGTCCCACTCCCGAGTCACGTCCAAGAACAGCGGGGCCTTCACGTTAGACAACCCTTGGGCTTGAGTGGTAGCGGCGATGCTAGGGAGGGCAGCGCGTGGGCGGAGGCGGACCAGTCCCCTCAGCGGCTCAGTAAAGCCCCGAGGAATTGCAAGCCCGTAGCCAAACAGGGCCAGGCTAGGTCGGCCCCGCAACCCGTCGCTTCCACATCCCTTAGTCCTGCACCCAGACCCGAGCCCGCCCTCTCGGCGAAGCTTGTCGGGATCAGACTACCAGCCCCGCCGCCCGCACGGCCCGAAGCGGCCGCAAGGGGGAGACACCATGCCACCGCACCTGTCCAGGCAGCGCTGGTCTACGTCCGAAGGCTGCCACTCGGCGTGCGGGAAGGCCTGTGCAAAGTACGCAGCGTGCTGGCCGGAGCCCGAGGCCACCTCGAGCACGCGGACGCCGCGCTGGGCCGGATCCACATACTGCCGCAACACGCGTAGGATGGGTTCCTTGTTCCGCTCAGCAGCCGCAGCTACCAGCATCTCAGCGGTGCTGCCTGCCCAGCCAGGACCACGCGCGGGGCCCGATGGGAGCTGTGGTCCAGATCGCGCGCAGAGCACGACGGGAACTGTGGTCCTGATTCGCGAGAGGCGTTTGGGGAGTTGTGGTAGGACTGACTCTTCTCCAGCCACCGGACTGGAGGGTTTGCCACGCCTTACAGGGTCCTCACCTGCTGGAGACTGAGTCCGGCGGCCGAGGGCTGGAGTGCCTGGATAGGGGAAGGGGCTTGAGAAGAAGCTGCTATTTACAAAGAAAGGTCTCTCAGCTCCGGCGCCTTGTTAGCCACGGCGCGCCAGTGTTTTCAGCGAGACTGTCACTCTGAAACATTCATTTGTCTCCTTTACAGGACACATTTACCTCGAATGTCAGATTTACACGTTTAGGAGATGAAAAAAATGAAAAACCCTCATGCGCCGCCCGGGAATCGAACCCGGGTCGCAAGAATGGGAATCTTGCATGATACCACTACACCAGCGGCGCTGTTGAACATCGGCTATGTCCACAAGACTTAGGAACCGTGATGCAACATAGGTGCACTGCGCATGCCTTCTTTCTGCTGTACTCCAATTTCATGTTGGCAGCGGTTTATTGGACACAACTGCTCACAGGTCCCACAGTGTCGCTGACACCGGAGGGGAAAGAAGATGTGAAGGGCGAGGGAGGGGGTGTTTAAGGACAATCACGGTTCGGGGCTGCCCCGTGCCATCCATAGCAGTCATGAACACTTGGGAGCCCAGGGGCAGGGGTGGAGCCTTGCTGGGAGTGGGTCTATGGGGTCCCGACAAGGCGTGTGGGCGTGGTCGTTGTGGAAGGCCTCGGAGCCTGAGCTCGTAGGTGCCAACCGCAGGTTGGAAACAACCGGCTCTGAGCTTTGTGTGGCGCTGAGACTGCCGGCGCCTGCTTGGAGTCCATGAGTAGTAGTCCACGTTGGTAACCAACGAATGAGTGAGCGCCTAAGGATGCTTCGCTGGTGGTCAGTTTAGGGGGTGTGCGCGGGGGGTGGGGAGGGTGGAGTCCAGGCTCTGAGGGACTGGATTCCAGAAAATGCCTTAAGAGTTGCTCCCGGCTGTTAGAACTCTTGCCTGTACCTGGCATTATGCTGCTCATAATTAAGCATGGCCCCTGCAGGGGATTGCTGTCTATGGTGTGTATAGGATTGCGAGTCTTAGACCTTGGATGTAGGTGACATGGCCAAGAATGGAGCATGACATGGATATAGGTCAGCCACTCTGGACAATCCTTCAGAAAAGTAGACAATTCAGACTCAGAGGAGTTGTGGAGTCTTCCCCAACCTTACCTGACATGTGGACATAGATGTCTGCTGTTGGAGGTGACACTGACTAGGCCTCTAGTGGACTCTCCCATTTCACTGTACCAGCATCTGCCTACCTGGCTGACCTTTATTGTGGACTCCTCCAGGGTTTTTTTGGCTGAGCATCTTCCATGTGTCCAAGTCCAGGAGAGGTGAGGGTGGCGCCTTCTCTTCTTCAACATGCAACCCTGGTCTGGACACCGTAACTGAAAGAGAGCTCCAGGAAGAAGGCCTGTCCAGGAAGAGAACTGACCAGGGTGCTACTGGAGGTTCAATTGGGATTCTCTAGGCACATAGAGACAGACCTGAAATTGATCTTCTTGCTTCCCCTCCCTTATTCTTGCTTTAAGGAATAATGCCCAGCAAACGTTTAAGGGTTCTTAGACTCTGGTTGATGCCCACTAGCAGGAGTCGACCATTGCTCCAGACTGGGCGCTAGATAAGCCAACACCTTCCCTCAGCATTGAGGTCGGTACTTGGCAGAGAAGCCACCAGATCTGGAGGCAAAGAGGCTTTCCTGCAGAAGGCCAGTCTTTCCTATCTCATAGAAAGTTTGAGTGTCCAGTGCCAACAGTGGTCTGATTCCCTGTGAGATGGACTGTCCTTGGGTGGGTGGGAAATTTGTTGAGGCCAGATTCTTATTAGGATCAGAAGCGCCTGCACTAGAAACTGAATTTGTCTTTTTCTGAGTGAATTAATCCACATTACCAAATTACCAAGGCCCTTGAGAGCTTCAGGTCCTAAATTTGGTGCTGTGTTAGGAACATAAGGTACCCTGGTCCTTCCACCCACACAGTGATGCCTCCTGGCCTTAGCCTCTATCCTGACTGTCCTTCCTGGGCATACTTCCTCCTCCCACCTGTTCCCTACAGTCTTGAGAAATGGCCTAGATGCAGGGCTTGGGCAATGCTTGATAAGACTGTACAGTCTCACTATCAATCTCCTTGAAAGGGGCCAGAGATTTTTGCTCACCATACCCCAAACCAAGTAGGAATCAGCTTCTTTTCTGGGTCCAGTTTCATGTGTTTGTGTTCATTAGCCTGAACCCTAGTGAAGGTTCAGTGTTCCTGAGGTTCTTCCCAAAGTCCTTGCAGTTGTCCTTTCCCTCCATCCCCCACCACTCTCCTTGTGGTTACTGTAATGAATTAGCCCAAAACTTGGTAGCTGAAAACAAATTTATTTTGTTATAGTTCTGGAGACCAGAAGTCCAAAACGAAGGTGTCAGATCACTACCAATTGACCTTGGCTTTGGCTATGTGACTCTAGTCTCTGCTCCCTTTTTCAAATGGCCTCCTCTGTCCAGATCTTCCTGTTATTCTCTTAAAAGGGCACTAATCATGGTATAGAGGACCCATCCAGCTCCAGATCTCTTAAGTATCTGTGACCTCCTTATGTCTATCACCCATCAAATACCAGCCTTCATAACTGGAACCCCAACAAGCCCCATCCTCAGGCAGCAGTAGGTCTAGGATCAGTGTAGCTGGGAAGACTCCACTGGGGAGATCAACCCTAAAAGACTATTTGTCCCTCCAACGTGTCTTTCCACTTCTCTAGTTCCTTCATCCCATGGAGACCTTGAGACTTTCTCACCCCAACCTCACCTGCTCATTCCTTAGCCTTTCAGGACAAGTTGCAGCCTCTGTTCCCACTTGGGAGCTTTTCTGAAGGTTTCTGAACCCAGCCTTGGACTTCTGATGCAACCCTTGGCTGTTTTGGTTTCAGCTTGGCCAACAATGACTTAAGCATGACTTAAGGCTGTATGAGGCTGGGCTCTGGGCTTTCATTATGGGCTGTTTGAGTGGCACAGTCTTTGTAGGGGACCAGCCCACAGAGAACTCATGTCAGTGTGGGGTATACATACTCCTCATACCAGGGTCTTGCCCTTCCTTTATGGCCCCTTATTCCAACCCTGTTACACCTTCCTGCCCAGGTCCTCCATGTGACAGTCATTCCAGGGGAACATGCAAACACTAGCATAAATCTCCAGCACCCTGTCCTGCCTCCACGGTGTGTGTGAGTGATTGAGCAGCATGCTCAAGGCCGCCAGAATCAGACTACGGTGGCCTTGAAAGGACAAGCTTCTTGGTTACTCTTGGAGGAGGGACAGGCACTGTGAGAGTAGAAAGGGACAAGTTTGGCCAGATAGTGGCCCTTTCCTTTCCATGCATGCCCAGGCCTTGACTCCCTGGGCAGAGCTTGTTTGGGGACTAAGCAAGCCCTCTGCCTTTGCAGTCACAGGCCTGGTGTGTAGCTATTTCCTGGGAACTGAAACATTCCCCCTGAATGAAGTTGGTAAGCTCAAGACTCAAGAAGCTAGGGAAATTTGGAACTTCTGAGACTCAGGAAGCTCAGTAAAGCCACAAAATTCACATGCTCCCCTACCCACAAGTAATATGATCAATAAACAACTACTGGGAGAGGAAACTCTTAAGTGGAGTTGGGAAAGGAACATCTTGAGTTGTTACCTCCCCTGGGGTGGGCTTTTCAGTGATGCGTGCTGCAGTAAGTAACCTCAATAAACTCACTGGTTCACCAAAGAGACTTGGGTGGAATCATTTCTTTGGTGTGTCATTGGTGCCTTAGCTCAGATGAGAAGACATTTATCTCTCCCTAGTACATGGCCACACACACACACACACACACACACCTGGGTCTTCAACAGCTGGAGAAAGGGAGGCCTTTGTCCTCCAGCCCTGTTCTGGACAATGAAAAGCCAAGGTGCCGTGGGTCAGGACAGCCTGGCCACCTGCAACAGGAAGTGTCCCTGGATTTCCACTGGCAAGCCATGCAGGTGTTTTGGGTAGCCTAGGAAGGAGGAGGAACAGGCAGTGTGGTGAGTCATCTGTCTCACTCCTCTACTGTGCATCTTGCTTGATTGGTCCTAGATTTGACAGAAAGATCTGCTCCCTCCAAGCTCCAGATATCAGCAGAGTTACGTAGGCGTAGGGAACCTAGGCCAGGTTGCAGTGGCACAAGTCTTGAGGGGCAGATTTCAAGCCCACATCACAACTCACCATTCATTACCTGGGGGTCATTAAAGTCAACAGGAGGAAGAGGTCTCAGGCTGCACCCACCAAATGCTGGGTTCTCTCTTCCACCAGGGTGTGGTGAGAAATCCTGTGGCTCTCCCCAGAGACCTGCTGGGGGACCTGGTTCTTAGCTTCCCCAGCAGTTGGGAGGAGGGGTACCTCCAGGAAAGTTCAGGAAAGAATCTTGAGAAGTTAGTAGGTTAGGTGGGTACACCTGAGAGTTCTGTACCCCCCCCCATTTCCTCAGTGCCCTGGACCTTCAGACTCCCTAAAGGACAGCCTTGAGATTCTCACTTCTTGTCCACTGGAGCGAGTCCCAGGACTTCAGATCGGTCTAAATTCACCTCTTTTCTCAACCCAAGCTTGTCCAAGCACTTGGCTGAGGGGCCTCAAATATGAGCGGGATTACTGGTGCTTCCAGTGTTTGCGCGGGGTTCCCAGATCAGAGAACTACCTCAGCACACAACGCCCCCTCCCCACCCCAGCTCAGAGAGCCTCATAGACGAGATTTCCCCCAACACGGAAACACACACTCCCAGGCCAGGGACTCCAAATGTTAGTCCTCCTTGACGGTCAAGAGGCTGGCGCCCAGTGCCCAGAGGATCCAGTCTGGCCCAGGACTTTTCGGGACTCATTGATGAGTGCATCCCGCCCAACCTCAAACTGCGTGTCTAGGCGGGTTTTCCAAAGAGCTGAGAGGGCTGGAGGGCGTGCAAGGCCCCTTTAAGAGAAGGGGGCGTGTGAGGATCGCTCCGCCCCTCCCCGCCTGTCCGCTGTCCTTAAAGGGGCTGTTCACTACACGTAGCAGAGTGGAGCCGGCGGAAGGCGCTGGGTCTGGCTGCTGCCAGGGGCGGGCCGGACGGCGCACCATGTACACCATCACCAAGGGACCCAGCAAGCTGGTCGCGCAGCGCCGCACAGGTGCGCAGAGCGGGCGGGCGGGCGGGACGCACTGACTGCTGACCCGCGGCGGCTGACGCGCCCTCCGCCCCGGCCCGCAGGTCCCACACAGCAGCAGGTGGAGAACAGGCTCGGCGAGCTCCTGAAATGCCGGCACTCGGTACCGGCGACCGCGCAGCCCACGCGCGCGCAGCTCTTGGCGCCGCCTCAGGGACCCTGGCCTCTGGCGAGGTGAGCGTGACCGCCGGGCATGAGGGTGACCTTGGGGAAGGTTGACGGGGACCACGCATCCTGCCGGGCAGGAGGCGGGGCGCAGGCCGGCTCGCGTACGCTTCCGCTCACCTGGCTGCCCCGGGGCCCAGCTGGAGCAAGTGGGAGGTCCTCGCGGGTTTCCTACCCGCTCCAGCTCTCAAGGGCTTCAGGCCCCCAGGACAGACGCCCCTGGATCTTGGGCAGCGTTCTTGAACCCCTTGAAAGCGGTCGAGGTCAGAGTTGGGGAGAGATGCCCAGGGCGCAGGCCCTCAAGGTCTTTGGGCCCTGTCCTTGCAGAAGCACGTGTTCCCTGCTGGTCTTGCCAGGCCCGTCCTTCACTGACACTCGGGCACTGGAGCCCTCCTCCCCAACAGATGTTAAGGCATATTGGGGCCAGCAGCTTCCTAACTTTCCTAACCAGCAGTCTTGGCCAATTTGGCTTTCAACCACTGTGACCTGGAGGTGCACCCACTCCCTCAAGGCGGAACCTTTTACTTATTTGGCTCAATTTACATGTTTTCTGGGCATGTGGACTTTGCTCCTGCCCCCTGCAGGCCTGTAGGCTCCTGGGCTCAGGACCCTGGTGGGGGTGCCATGTGATCAAGCTCAGGCAGGCCCCAGGCAGTGTGGCTTAAACCATACCCAAGAAGGGGGCACAAGAGACAAGGGGCTTTCCAAGTTGAGGACTGGAGAACCACCAAGGAAGTCAAGAGTTAGACTAACCTTAGTTGGAGTGTCTGTGTGGCTGGCCTTACCTCAGCCTCTCTCAGCTACTGGACCTCAGATGCTATAGGTGGAAGAGGCCTGTAGGGATTTTGTTTGATATTCTGGCAGAGTGGGGAACTTCCTGTTGGAGGGGCATGTTGGCAACTGGCTCTATTCCGGTGAATGTTCCCAGCCAAAGATCTGTCCTGGGGATCGGGTGAGCAGGTCCTGGGGGCGCATCCTGTAGACCTCACTGTCCTTATATCCCTGGGAGGACACTGTGGTACAGGTGTGTAACCATGAGGTGGTCACTCAGACAGGGAGCATGGAACAGGAATAGCCTTGATGACCTGCCCAACTCTAACCTACACGTGTTTCAGGTTACCATTACTGGGGAACAGGTCTGTCACAAAATTGGGGTGGTGTCCAGGAGGAGGACAAGGTAGTGACATTCTCCAGAACCCTAAGTGTGCAAGGGACACCCCAGACCCACTGACTGTTCTCCCTAGACAGCCCATATCAGGAAGTTAAACCTGATTCGGATGCCTGAAGCTCTTCAGCAGCCATCAGGTAGGGCACTTAGAGCCTGAGTAGACTTGATCCCCTTGTCCTCTTGGGCTCTGGGAGCTAAGGACATAGGGCAGAGTCTCTTCCTTACTCCCTCCTGAGGTTACTGGGTAGTGGATCCCTTTCTGAACAACCTTTTCAATCCCTAGACTGGGAGCTTCAGGCTGCTCTAGGGCCTCCACATGTGATTCCACATCTACTTCTGTGTCTTTTCAAGAGCTGCCCTCCAAAATCACTCCACATTTCTATCACCTTTCCTGTCTTTTCTTCTGGATCCTTTCCTCAGCTACCATTTTTCTCTGACCAGTTGTGGGAGGATGGAGCATGGGGGATGGAGGTGGGGGAAAAGGAGACACTGGTCATCCTCTTGCTGCTACACAGCAGAATCCCAAAGCTTTCAACCTGCCGAATGATTGGTTATGGGTACTGGGTGCCAGTTCGGCCTGTGCCTCTGACACATTCTTTCTCCTGGCAAGAGACAGATGGGAAAGACATAAGATGTGATTATGTGATCACCTGTCCCCCAAGGGCAGATGGGGGATATTCAGGGACCAATGGGCAGGAAGGGGTTTGGAGCAGTGAGTCAAGATTGTGGGCATTGGGGTCAGGATTGCTGCTAAATCTTGCTATTACTCCCTCTCACTATGTGACACAGGCAGGACATTTCCCTTCACAGATTGAAAAATGAGTAGCCTGGGGCTGGAGAGATGGCTCAGTGGTTAAGAGCATTGACTGCTCTTGGCAGAGGACTGGGTTCAATTCCCAGCACCCACATGGCGGCTATGTACCTTCCTCCTTAACTCCAGTTCCAAGGGAATCCAAAGCCCTCTTCTGACCTCTGTGGCATTGCACAACATGGGTGCACGCACATACATGCAGGCAATACACTCATACACATAAAATTAAAATAATAAAATATTTTTTAAAAAAAAAGAAAAATGAGTAGCCCATCACTTTTTTTTTAGGGGGGGGTGGACATGAGAGGAGGTTTGTGGGATATTATGGCCTAGCATTGCAGGCAGTATCCAAGGTACTGAGTACAGGTTAGCTATCATGCACAGGTGCACCCTGTGGCTGGTGCCCTTTCTCCCACAGAGTCTTGTCTTACATAACCATGGCCTCCAAGCAGGGGTGGGGCAGGGCTGGCTGTGGGTATGTTGCCCTTGCCCTCTGGGGCCATATTCCAGCTCTAGGGCCACCACCTTGATCCACTGCTATTCACAGCCCCTAGCTGGGATTTCCTCCTTTTCTTTTTTAAAGAATCAATATATAGCCTCAGCCAGATGTGGTGGTACATGCCTACCTATATGCTGATACTTGGGAGGAGGATTGTCAAATGGTCAAGGCCAGTTTGGGCCACTTATCAGGCCCTGTCTCACAAACAAACAAAACAACCACACAAAAAGAAAAAAAGATTCAGTGTCTTGCTGCTTCCATACTTTCTTTCCTGGTTTTTGAAAACTTTTAGGGTAGAGGGGGGTTATAGGCAAGGGTGGATTTTCAGATTAAGGATGGCCTTCATGCCTTCTGGTACCCAGTAGGTCTGGGAGGAACTCTGCCTCCTTGTGGTCCCCACCTGCATATCTCAGATTTTCTGCTGCCACCAGACCCTGCCAGCCCAGGGGCTGGCGGGACCCTGTGCCCCTCAAGACCCTCCTCTTTATTTTAGTGCCCCTCTCACCTGAGGAGGAACCCAGAGCGGCGTGGGGCACCTGAGCCCAGGAAGGCGAGCAGGCCAGCCGGGACCGCGAGTGCCTGGCGGAGTGGCAGGTGCAGCCCAGGACTCTGGCTCCCACCTCCTGCTGTAGGTGCGGCCCCATTCCCTCCATGGCCCCACCCCAGGCTTCCTGAGCACCCTGCTGTTGCCTGCCAGCCTACTAGGATAGCCCATCCTTGCCCTGAACCTGCCTGACTGGGAGGGGCTCAGCCACTCCCACCTCTGAACTTGGAGTGCAGCACAGTGCCTCAGGGGCCATCTTACTCAGTTGCTCCTTGTCTCTTGCCTTTGGCAGTGGGCAGGTCATGCTCTTCCCACTCAGGACTGCCCTCTTCAGCATTCTGTGCTCATCCCTCTGGGGCCTGGGGACAGCTGGGGAAGGGGAAGGGCAAATGTTGACCCATCCTTGTTTGATCTATTTTCCAACACTGGGGATATGTCATTGAGGTGACTGGCATCTATGGGGAGCCTCTGGAGAGTCAGGAGATGGGTGTCTGTGCCTGATGGGTGGGGCTGGGACAGGGATCTGGTCAGGCTGAGGTCAGAACCAGGCTGCTAGAGGCCTGGCCGGTGGGGAGTTGGGAATGCAGAAGAATGCTGTATGGGACCCTGCCACAGGTGGGGGCTCCTCCCTGACTTGCAGTCACTCTCCTTCCAAGTCCAGGGCTGCAGCTGTGAGATGAGCTTCAGTAAGCTCATGATCTGCAGCAGAGAGGCTTTGGCCAGCAGCATTTATGGGGAGCTTCTCTATAGTTGAGGAAAGGCTTGACCTGGGCCTATGCTGAGGCAGTGGGCAAGTCCTGAAGCTGCTCTTGAATCCTGCAGAGCAGTTCCTGAGCCTGGCTGGTGTCAACCATGTCTGTCTCTTTCCTCTCCCACAGTTCTGGGCCTCGGCTTGTGTTCAATCGAGTGAACGGCCGGCGGCCCCTCACCACATCCCCATCCCTCGAGGGGACTCAGGAGACCTACACATTGGCCCACGAGGAGAACGTCCGATTTGTGTCCGAAGGTAGTAAGGGACCAGGGGATGTGGCTTAGGCCACTGGATCCCAGTAGTGCAGACCTGGCATTATCCTGTTCTCTTTCCCCACTGTAGTTTGACTGTTGGCAGCCCAAAGGCTAGACTTTTCCTTGGCTCTCTGCCCAGTCATGTCCATTCCTTGAACTGGGCTGGAGTACAGGATGGCTACCAGGCTCTGAGGTGGGAAGGATACCAGGGGCCTGGTTCAGCCTAACAATCTTTCCCCCACAGCCTGGCAACAGGTGGAGCGACAGCTGGATGGCAGCCCTGCCGGTGAGAGTGGGCCATGGCCTGTGCAGTATGTGGAGAACACCCCTGATCCCCGGCTGCAGAGTGAGTCCTCTCCCATGCCCTGCACCCCCAGGGAATCTTCCAGCCCCTCTGACCCTGACCCCCCCCAACTAGGCTTCAGCCCCAGGGGATTAGGGAGGGGACTCCCAAGCCTGACTCCCCCATTTCCCACTGTGAGCTGTGCTCAGAGTCCAGGTGAGGGGTTGTTTTTAACTGGAGGGCAAAGGTACTGATTAGCTTGGAAGACCACATGTGCCCATTCTTCTATTCTGCCTGCAGACTTTGTGCCCATTGACCTGGATGAGTGGTGGGCACAGCAGTTCCTGGCTAGAATCACCAACTGTTCATAATGGCTGCTCAGGAAGGAACGCTGCCATAGCCGGCCCTCTTCCAGAAGAGGACCATGGTGCCCCATCCACCTTGTGGCCTGACTGGGCACCGGCCACACCTGAAGTGCCAGCATTTGGACTTTTGCACCTATTGTTCCCTTGGCTTGGCTGTGCCAAACTGCCAGGGCCAGGGGCCAAACCCGTCTGACCTCAGTTCTGCTCACTGAGTCCAGGAACCAGCCCCTGGGGCTGGCAGGGAGGCATCCAGGCTAATAAAGTTGAGAAACTGCCCTTCAGAATGTCCTTGATTGGGGAACCCAGGATATGAGTATTGGGTCTATAAGTCCACTTCTAACCTCTAGTCCCCAGGCTCAAACTCTAGCCTTCCCCCCTGCCTCTTTGTGATACTTGGAATTGAAGCCAGGGCCTCATACATGTTAGGATGTGCTCTGCTACATCCGTAGCCCTTTTATTTTGTAAAGATTTTTATTCATTTTTAAAAACTTATTATTTTTATTTTATGTTTATGAATATATTGTCTGTATGTGCATAAGTGAACCCATGTCATGCAATGTCTGTGGAGGTCAGAGGAAACTAGAGTTATAGATGGTTGTTAACCACCTTGTGGGTGCTGGGAATTGAAAGCAAGTCCTCTGCAAGAGCAGTCAGTACTCTTAACTCCTGAGCCATCTCTCTAGCTCCTCTATTTGGTTTTTTAAGACAGGGTCTCCCTGTAGCTCCAGCTGCCCTGGAACTCACTATGTAGACCAGACTGGTCTTAATCTAACAAAGATCTACTTGCCCTGCGCCCAAGTGTCCGGATTAAAGGTGTATGCCACCACACCCAGCACAGATTTATTTTATGTTTTGAGTATTTTGTATGTATGTATGCAGAGCCCATGGAGACCAGAAGAGGAAGTCAGATCCTCTGGAACTGGAGTTACATAATATGGTTGTGAGCCACCATGCTGGTAACTGAAACCCCAGTCCTCTGCAAGAGCAGTAAGTGTTCTTAACCACTGAGCCATCTCTCTAGCCCGCCCCATTAGCCTTCTTTTTATGCTTTAAAAAAATTATTTATGCCGGGCGTGGTGGCACACGCCTTTAATCCCAGCACTTGGGAGGCAGAGGCAGGTGGATCTCTGTGAGTTCAAGGCCAGCCTGGTCTACATAGTGAGTTCCAGGACAGCTGGGGCTAGAGGGAGACCCTGTCTCAAAAAGACCAAAAAAATTTATATTATATATATAGACAGGGTCTCCCTGTAGCCCCAGCTAGCCTGGCACTCCAGGCTGGCCTCGATCTCACAGAGATCTGTCTGCCTCTGCCTCCTAAGTCCTGGGATTAAAGGCATGTGTCATCATGCCCAGGTTAAAAAATTTTATTTTACCAGTATGAATGTTTTGTCTGGATGCATGTATGGGTACCACTAGCATGCAGTGCTTGCAAAGGCCAGGAGAGGGCACAAGATTCCCTGAAACTAGAGTTAGAAATGGTTGTTAGCCACCATGTGGGTGCTGGGAATCAAACCCTTATCCTTCACAAGAGCAGCAAATACTCTTAATCACTGAGCCATCTCACCAGCCCTATATATTTTTTGAGACAGGTTCTCACTATGTAGCCCTGGCTGTCCTGGAACTCACTGTGCATACCTAGCTGGCCTGGAACTCACTATATAGATCAGGCTAGGCTGGAGCTCACAAGATTTGTCTGCCTCTGCCTCCCAAGTGCTGGGAATAAAGGCATATTCCACTACACTCAGCATGGCCTTGAACTTTTGATCCACTGCTTCAGCCTCCCATGTAGCTGGGATTAAAGGCCAACTCAGGCCTCCCCTTGTAACCACATACTCCCTATACTCTTGGACCAGCAGGAGCTCTGTCCAGCGCTTTGTCTTTTTTTTTTTTTTTTTTTTTTTAAGATCCTCTGAAACTGGAGTTATGGTTAGTTGTCATGTGGGTGCTGGGAATCCAAGCCGGGTCCTCTGCAAGAGCAGCCAATGGTCTCTCCAGCCCCCCCTAACCCCCCTTAACCACGGTGCTAGGGCTCTTGGCAACTCATTTTATTTGGAAGTATGTAGACCCAAGCTGTTCCATCTGATTCCACTGTTTCCTCTTTTCTTGACAATCCACAGTTGTCAAAGCTAGATACCAAGGCCCAGGGATATAACTGACTCTGGAATGGGATATTAGCCCTGGACTGCAGGTCCTGCTTCATCAAGCCTGTGGGCCTGGCTTTTTAGGACACTGGGAAACTATGGTGAACATGTGGGGACTGGTTGGTTGGGAACCAGGTCCCAGTGGGTACTGGGGTCTTGCCCTCCTGAAGCAGGGAGACCCAGAGTACACTGGGTGCTGATACAATTTCTCCATAAGTGTATAAAGCATAGATGAGCACAGCTTCGGTGGGCAATCGATGTGGAAAGGTCTCAGTCTGCTCTTCCCTGCTCACGTACAGATAGAATTCCACCAAGTTCAGCCTCTCAAATACGGAGGCCTCAGGGAGGGTCTGCGACATCTTTTTTGCACAGTTGGCTAAGTTAGAGCAAGGTCTGCGGAGGCCGAGGTAGGGAGTGACCGCAGAGGGACACGCAGGAAACAACAGCGAAGGGAGGGCCAAGGAGAGGGAAAGTGACCCGGAATGTGCTTGTGCTGGAGAGCCCCGCCGCGGCCAGGTCTGAACTGCACCCGATCACGTGAACGACGGGCGCTGTCTCGGCGGCGGAAGTGACGCGCGGCTGGCTGGCATCCGTTGCTAGGCAACGCGCTGCGTAGCTTGCGTGCGGTAGCGTCCGCTGAGGCGGGAAGCGTGAGCTGCAGCGCCATGGCCGGAGGTAGCGGTGGGCGGCCAGCGGGCTGTCGTCGGGTATCGCATCCCGCGAGTCCCGGGTCCCGGGTCCCGCATGCACCACTGACTGTCCGTACGGCCGAGTCGCTGCGGTGCTGCGCGGAAGCGGGTCCCGCCGGAGGAGGTGAAGGGTCGTGGCGCGCTGCCCAGGATCGGTACTCCAGGGGCGTCGCTCCTTCCGCAGCCTGGCAGCACCCTTTCCTCAACGTCTTCAGACACTTCAGGGTGGACGAGTGGAAACGGTCCAGCAAGGAGGGCGACGTGGCCATGGTGACGGTACTGGCTGGGGGGACTTCCTGCTCCTGGGAAATTTCCCCGTGGGCACTTCTTAGTATCCTCCAGTTCCGCGGTGGTCGCAGCTCCTCTGTTTTTTCCAGGACAAGACCCTGAAGAGCGCCGTGTATCGCATCCGCGGGTCTGTTTCTGCCAGCAACTACATCCAGCTCCCCAGAACTAGCACTCAGTCACTGGGATTGACTGGGCGATACCTGTATGTGCTCTTCCGGCCCCTGCCCACCAAGCACTTTGTCATCCACCTGGACGTGTCCACTGAGGTGCTCAGCTTGGACGGAAGGTGGGCTGTGGGTAGAGGGCTTCTTATTCAATACCTGTGGTCCCCCTCCTAATATCCTTGCTCTGCCTCATAGGACGGCCAGGTCATCCGAGTATCTTTCTCCAACCTATTTAAGGAGTTCAAGTCATCTGCCACATGGCTTCAGTTCCCGTTCGTGTTCCAGACTAGGACTCCCAGGAGAGGTGGTGACACCTGGTCTAGGAAGGGTAGCCTGAAGACCTAGAGCCAGATGGTGCAGGCCCAGTAGGGCTTGTGTGTGGCCCACGGCTGGGAGGTGGGGCAAGACAGAGTTGCAGCTATGGGGATGGGGATACTGGAAGGTAGGTGCTGACCTTGCACCTGTCCTGCAGACCTGGCAGGTGTGGCTCCCTCTAGTGCCCGCTGGACCTGCCTGCAGCTGGACCTGCAGGACACCCTGATGTTCTACTTGAATAGACGGTACAGCCACCTCAAGAGCATTAGGTTGTGTGCCAGCCTGCTGGTCAGGAACCTCTACACCAGTGATCTGTGCTTTGACCCAGGTGAGGACCATATCCAATGCTCCACCTCAGTCTGAAGTCTAGAGCCCCACTCCCAGATGAGAGACATACACTAAGGCCCCTCAACTCTAGAAACAGCCCAGGGGTAGGTTAGATAGCTGGATCAATGTCCTGGCGACACACTGGTAGATGTATGGTATTATATCTTGCCTGGGGTGGGGAGGGGGTATGATAGATTTTCCTTGATCTGGAACAACTCTGACATTGTAGCTGTCACTGTCACTGAGGCTCGGCGTGCAAAGCTGCCTGTTACTCCTGTGCCTCGGGAAATGGCCTTCCCAGTGCCAAAGGGAGAGAGCTGGCATGACCATTATATCCACATCTGGTGAGCAGCTGTGGGCCTCTGGTAGTAAAGGGGCATGTAGCCCCTCAGCCCCCAGACACTGATTCTGCCTCCACCCATGTCTGCCACCCCTCAGGTTTCCAAGTGATGGCTCAAAGGCACCTTCCAATCAGGTTCAGAAGAGCTGTACCCCTCCAGAGGAAGGTGGGCCTGTGGGACTTCAGAGTACATATGATTTGATGGAAGTGGGTTGTGGGGGGTTCCTGAAAGGGGCATGATAGTGTGGTGTGTGCCCAGGGCAGTCTTGAGACAGACATGGAGAAGGGACTAGCCGACAATCATCTGTGCACCTAAAAAAACCACATTTAAGGCCTATGCAAAGGGCACCTGAGGGCCCAAGCTTTCTAGTTGGGAGAGGAGCTATCAGGGTCTGAGGTAAAATGATGGGCAGCTTCTGTGGTGTGACTTCTGTAGAACTGGTGAGGGGAGCCATCTGCTCCTCCCTGCACCTTTGTTGGCCACCCTCACAGGCTTCTTGGTTGCTCCATTCTGTCTCGTTGCTCTGTTGTCATCTTTTTAGGGCATGTGTCACAGCGCCTGCCTCATCAAATAGCATTTAGCAAACCTTTGCAGAATAGTAGATCCCCAGTGGCCCAGATACCTAGCCCTGTATTGGTGAGTGCCCTTGGGAAAGGGCTGGGGAATGGTAGCCCTAGGATACTGATGGGCACCTGTTCCCTTACATCCCTGCCAGGTCCCCTCAGTACCTAAACTACTTCCAGAGGTTAGTCTGTCCTACAAGCACCCAGAGATGTCCAAGGTAGGTGCCCCTAACATCCATGGCCAACATCCTTTGTCCTGGGAGAAGGTCACAGATGCACATATGGTGGTCAGTGGTGAACACGTGCTTGCCCACAAATCAGCTGGGGCATCCATGACTCTTGAGGACACTGGCTCCTGTAAGGTGAGTGCTGAGTCCAAGGAAAGTGGGCATATCTGAGATGAGGGGCTTCCCAGCCTGAGCCCCCTGATCTGCATTCAAGGTGGATAGGCCTGTAATGCCCCTTGCTTTGCGTAGAGCTCCACTTGATGAATAAAGAAGGGTTTGTCCCTGCTAATTAAGTCTAAGCAATGCTCCAGATAGTCTGTTGAGGGACAGGACCTGGGGTTTCTGGAGGCTCTGCTGCTACAGCCGAAAAAGTACTGTTGACAGGTCTTTTCCTTGAGAGGTGGGTAGGGAGTGACTTCCTGGAATCTGATTTTATATTTATCTATTTCAGCTCTTCCTCCCAGACCCAGTCCTGAAGCTCAAGGGGGTCATTGGCTTTGGGGGCCACAGCACCCAATGGGTGAGGACTTAAGGAAGTTTCCAGGCCAATTCTCATGAGTGGCATGAGTGTTGAGTTCTTGGAGGAGGACAGGTTCTTTGTCCCATCAAGGACACTTCATTCCTTGCAGACTACTGGCTTCCCCCTCATCCTCAGAAGCCCTGTTCTGCCCACATCTACTCATTCCTATATGGGCACATGTGGATCTCTCAAGTCATGGATGTCCCCTGCTCACTGGGCAAGGTCTAAGAGGCAATGGCTAGATTAAAGGGCTCCCAAAGACTCAAAAGGTCTGGCTTACATCTTTGGAGCTGCTATGAGGATGGGACTCTGTGATCCCAGACCTGTAGGGATAGGGTGTGATGTGGGCACTCAACAGGCCCATCTGGACATTTTTTTACTCGGACCCCCAATCTTTTCTATTAATTGCCCTTTCTACCTGTGTTTGTGATGAGGGGCAGATGTGTTTCTGAGTGACTGAATGCCTGTGTGTGTGCGCCAGCTTCCCCCCTAAGTAGTCAGGAGGGGTCTGAAGTTCTGCTGGTAACCTTGGTTCTGACCCTCATGTGCCAGGCCCTGTGGACTAAGGATGGGGCAGCTGTTATTTACCCCTGCCATGCAATCATCATTGTTTTGCACGTTGACACTGGAGAGCAACGCTTTTTCCTCGGCCACACAGACAAGGTACTTGGGCCTGGTGGGGAGAGATGCACCTACAGGCCTTGTGCCCTCCTTCCACATTGTACCTCCTCAGGTCTCTGCCTTGGCACTAGATGGGAACAATATGCTGCTAGCCTCAGCCCAGATGCAGCCCCCCAGCATGATGCGGCTCTGGGACTTCCAGACTGGAGGATGCCTGTCCCTGTTTCGGAGCCCACTACATACTGTCTGCTCCCTCAGGTGAGGTTGCTTCTGTTGGGAGGGGGCAGCAGTTGGAGTGAAGGATATCCACTGCTGAACTTCTTTTCCATGTCCACAGCTTCTCTGGTAGTGGGGCACTCCTCTGCGGTGTGGGCAAGGATCGACACGGGAAAACGGTAATAAGGGAGCTGGGGCCTTACCACATGGGCAGTGAGCTCCATCCAGTCAGTCTCTGCTTTCTAAAACTGTTTATTTCTGCTTATTAAAGTAACGTGTCTTGCTTTAAATATCAAGCTGGGTGCTAGGAAGGGTGATGCGTGTGGAGGTAGAGGCAAGAGAATCATGAGTTTCAGGCCAATCTGAGATGCATAGCAAGACTCAATCTCCCTTCCCCCTCCCACTCCCCCAAAACAATCAAGCTGATATGTGTGTGTGCCAGTACTTGGAAGGCTGAGGCAGGAGGGTTGCCTGAACCTAGGAATTTGAGGTGAGCCTAGGCAACATAGCCAGACCCAGTTTAAAAAAAAAAGTACAGTGATAGGAAATGATTGTTAGCTCCCTCTTCTTTCCCTGGTGTAAAGTCCTTTAGCCTCATGCTTTGGGCCCTGTGTGTTTTGGGTCCCCCATGCTTCCCCCTGAGGAGAGTCTACAGATTATTTCTTTTTAAGTGTTTTTTGTTTTTGTTTTTTTTTATGTGTATAAATGTATTGCCTGCATATATGTGAGTGCACCTGTGTCATGCAGTGCCCAGTGAAGTCAGAAGTGTTAGATCCCCTGGAACTGGAGTTAGAGACAGTTGTTAGCCACCATGTGGGTGCTGGGAATTGAACCTGGGTCCTCTGCAAGAGCAGCCAGTACTCTTAACTGCTAAGCCATCTCTCGAGCCCCTCCATAGATTATTTCATACTTCACATTTTGGTTTTTCATTGCCTGGGCCCTGAATTTAGAAGCTCTCTATGTTGTCATAGTGTAGGATGCTTTTTTGTCTCAGTAGCTGCTTTAAAGCAACCCAGTGTTTCACTGTGGGCTACCTCTGACTTTTTTTCTTTTCTGAATGTCAAGAATCTAATCCAGGGCCTCAGACATGCTAGGTAAGCACCATGCCATTGAGATACACCCCACCCACTAGGTCAGGTTTTACTTGTCTTTGCAGATAGCTACAGCCCAGCCAATCTCTGTAGAAGTCTCAAGAGTTGACCACAACTTGCTCATGGCAAGTGTGCTAGAGACCCTGATCCCCCATACTCGGCAGCCCTGATGTTCAGGGGCAGATTCCTATATCAGGGGAGAACCACTGTCTGGTGATGGGTTCCTCAGTTGGGCCTCACAGGTCAAGGCAGGACTAGGCAAAGGGCTAGAAGGACTGGGTGTCTGCACCTGGAGCTCACTGTGGGCTTGTTGCAGGTGGTGGTGGCCTGGGGCACAGACCAGGTGGGCATTGATGGTGAGGTGGTAGTTCTTGCAAAGGTGCACACTGACTTTGATGTCCAGACCTTCCGGATTGCCTTTTTTGATGAAACCAGGTGATATGGTCAGGCTCTGATACTGGGACAGGGTTCGGGCTTGAGCCTCTCTGCTCCACAGTGCTTATTCCTCCATGTCTCCTCTGCAGGATGGCATCATGTGGACGTGGTAGTGTGCGACTATGGCGACTGCGGGGTGGAGCACTGCGCTCCTGTGCTGTGGATTTAGGGGAGCACTGTGCACTGGAACTTACTGACCTCGCCTTTGCACGGGCCCTGGACAGCCACTGGGTGCCCTCTGCTTACATGCTGTGAGTTCCTGCTGTTGTCTTTACCTAACCTACTGTGTACCCTAAGTACTCTGCCTCACCTGTCACCTTCCTTGGGCAGCTATGTGTGCAGCCATAGCGGCCACATCCTGGAGATTGATCCCCAGCACATGGCTGTGCAGCACATCCGCCGCCTGCTGCCCACACAGTCTCCTGATGTTCCTCTCACTGAGAAGCAGACCTTCAGCTCAGGTACGTGGACGCCCATCTCTGGAGGGGGTGACATCACACTGAGATACTGATGCCTGAACTTCCCAGGGTCCGGCATTTCCATCAGGAGCCTCAGTGTTTCACTTACCATGTGTGCCGTGGGCTCTGAGGACGGCTACCTGCGAGTCTGGCCCCTGGACTTCTCCTCAGTGCTCCTAGAGGCAGGTGAGACTGAAGGCATCTACCCTTGCTTAGGAAGAGTGTCCCCTGCCACAAGGGAGACAGGGATCCTCTGGCTCTGGTTTTTGAAGTACTTTCCTTGGGTTGGACAGTGAGTCATGGGTCTAGGGGCTGTCCTGAGCCTGGGTGTCTATCCATGCCAGGGCTGCCTACAGGCTGGTTTCACAGAGGGTCAATGGATAATGTACAAGATAGTCTCAAAGCCTTGAAGGCCTTGGCAGCAAGGGAATAGGTAGTATGTTTCAGGAACCTCAGTTCCCAACACAGTGTGGCATGAGTTTTCCTGGAGTCATCTCTGGCCCCAGAAGCTCCTGACCTGCCTTTCCCACAGAGCATGAAGGCCCCATCAGTTCAGTCTGCTTCAGTCCCGATGGCCTGCGTGTGCTGTCCACCACTTCTTCAGGCCATCTGGGATTCTTGGATGTCCCTTCCCGGGAATATACTGTACTGGCACGCTCCCATATGGCTCCAGTGTTGGCGCTTTCCATGGAGCAGAGCCGGAGACAGCTGGCCACTGTGTCCCTGGACCACACTGTCCGCATCTGGGACCTGACCACTTTGCGGCAGGTAAGTAATGGCAAAAGTCAGTCGGGCTAGGCCCAGAGACCCACCAAAGATCTATGGGTAGGGGGACCCAACAGCTTTGGTCCATTCCAGTCCAGTGTCTAGAGCTTACTATTCAAGCCATCTGGGGGTACTCTTGTCCCTTGGGCTCTCTCTGCTCCTGCTCACCCCTCATGGTGGCCTCTGCCTTCCAGCTATATGACTTCATGTCTCCTGATGAGGCCCCTTGTGCTGTTGCCTTCCATCCCATGTTGCCAACTTTCTTCTGTGGCTTCAGCAGTGGAGCTGTACGCTCCTTTAGCCTGGAGAACTCTGGGGTTCTGGTGGAACACACGTGAGTGTCCAGGGAACCAGGGCTACAAGACATTGGCAGTGGATATGAAAGCTGTGGTGCTCTGTGGGATCCCAAGTGGGGAGGGTCATCTGCAGAAAGATCGGCGTCACCCCAAGCCTCACCATGGCTCCCAGGACCAAGGTCAGTGAGTGTCCCATGTATGGTACAGGCGTCACCGAGGGGCCATCACCAGCCTGGTCACCACCCCTGATGGCAGCTTCCTGTTCAGCTCCTGCTCTCAGGGCTCCCTGGTCCAATACAACTGTGCTGTCCCCCGATGCTGCGTCCTACGTGTGGCAGGTCAGGTTTCACTCACACTTGTCCCAAAGCACTAGGGAGGCCATTGCCCTCACACTCAGGGCCCATTTTGTACCATATGCCTGCTGCCAGGGAGGGGTCTCTAACTGCCCCCCTAAAGCCAAGGATCAGCAAGGGTCTGTGCCTACAGCTAGGACACCAGGACAGCAGTTGGGAGAAACCCATTCAGTGGGCATCTGGTGGTCTTCCCTGACATGCCTACTGGATGGTCACATGATGGTCATAGCTTCTGAGAACTCCTGGTAACACCTGGCACCTGCTGGCCTCCTAGCACTCTCATAGACAAGCTCTGTGGCTGCTGTGAAGTGTCCCTCCCTGGGCCAGTGTGTGCTACAGGTGGGGTGGGATTGGGTAGCTCCCTGTATACCTGCTGACCCACTGCCCTGTGCTGCTGCAGCCAACATGGTAAGCCAGGATGGCCACCCCAACCCCAATACTTTGGCAGTCAGTGGGGATAGTCGCCGGTTGGCCTTTGTGGGCCCTTCCAAGTGCATGGTGACAGTCATGGAGTCGGCCTCCCTGGATGAGGTGAGTGTGGGACCTCCTAGGTCAGGGGCTCTGCCTGCCTAGCTATAGAGTGTCAGGTGGTTCAGGGAACAGATGAGAGATCGTGGTCACTCAGGAACAGGCCCCAGCCCTCCTCCATACCCTACCCATGATGCTAAGGGGGTGCTATACTTTGCAAAAGGTCAGCTTCTCATGTAGGGGTGATGCTCAGGTGTCCAGGTAGGTGCACCTGAAGCTACTTCCCTTTCTGGCTCTGGGTGGTCAACTCAGTCTGGAGTTGGAAGCTAAATGCCATTTGTCCCCCAGCTACTACGAGTTGATGTCAGCACCCTGAATTTGGCCAGCAGCCACCTGGACTGGGCTGTGGCTGTCTGCTTCAGCCCTGGAGTTCCAGTCCATCTGTTGGTGTCCACATCCTCCAAGAAAGTTGTGATATTGGATGCGATGTCAGGACACATTATCCGGGAGGTGAGCCTGAGACAATAGCTAACTATCCTGCCCATACTTCCCTCTGTTCCCTGCAGCCCTGCCAGTAAGGCAGGGGCTTTGAGGTTACCTACTGCCCTTCCATGAAGGGGAATCTTCTGAGAATGCTTTGTTGTAGCTATCCAGTGTCCGTTCTGGGTCCTGCTCCTCCCTGGCTGTCAGTGAGGATTCCCGTTTCCTGCTGGCTGCCACTGGTCGGGCCATCACCATATGGGATTACCCAACACGGGCAAACCCCAGCACCCAGGTATGTGCCTTGGGCAGCAGGGGGCTCTGGATCTCCATGGGTACCTGGAAAGAACCCTAGAGTAGGGGAGGGGCATAGAGGACAGGGACTGGGAGGATGTAAGGTGAACCCAAGGATCCTCTATCAAATGAGGCCAAATACCACATGGGACCTCTTAGTCCTCAGCCTGGCGGGTCTAGGGCTTACTGTTAGACCTAGGTACTGGGAACACAGGATCTTGGCAACACTCTGGGTCCCTACTGCCCTTAGGTATACATTGGCCATTCAGAGTCCGTGCAGGCTGTGGCCTTCACCCCTGACCAGCAACAAGTCCTCAGCGCAGGGGATGCCATCTTCCTCTGGGATGTCCTGGCCACTCCTGAGAGGCAAGTGTCTATCCTTGACCATGTCTGCATGGGCCTCCTCCTGGCCCCTGACACCTTCTCTTATTCTCAGTGACAGAAGTGAGCCTGGGGTGCCCCCAGACCATGAGGCTGGTGAGTAACCCAGGTTTGGCCAGAAGGGGAGGATGTGAAGATGTCAGCAGGTATGAAGCTGACACTGGGCTGGTCATATGGCATGCCTATCATCACCACAGAGGCTGCTTCCCTGACAAACAGATCTGACATGTTCAGCCCTGTCTTTTTATCTCTAGGCCCTAATGTGGAGCAGCTGGAGGACATAGCATCTGGGGCCAGGGAACTGCCCCGGCAGCAGGTGCCTGTACCATCCCAGGCATCACCACCCCCACTGAGCTTCCATGCCAGGCCCCTTGAGGGCAGTGCTGGTAAGGGTAGAGGTCCTGGGTAGGTCTGGGTGTGCATGGGCTAAGGATGCCCATAGGTGTTGGTTCTGGGTGGGATTCAGGTCAAGTGTCTTCTTTTCCTTTTGTTGTTCCCCAGTCACCTTCTCCACATCGGACGAGGAGGGACCCTGTGAGGAAAGCCATGTTTCTGAGGGACTTCTTCAAGCCCAAGCCCCAGCCCCACCTGTGCTCGTGGAGAGGGAGGCCAGTGGAGCTGGGGATGGTCTTAGGGAGACTGCAAGAGTCCCTTGGGCACTTACTGTGCCTCCTCATCACCACAACCAGACTAGTAAGCAGGTGGCAGCAAACAGGAACTGAGTCTCATGTGTGGGTATCTTAGGGGCTTGAAGTAATCTCTCCTGAAAGATGAATTAAGGTTACTTCCAGGACCCTGGGCAGCCTGGGATGCCTGTGGTGGGTAGAATATAGCTCTCAAAATCCAATGGCAGTGGTGGTGGGGAGGCTTTGTGTCTAGGGAGGGGCCTCTGAGGGTTGTAGACAGTTGTGTTCGATGGCTTGCTGTTTTTCTTCTCCCTATCAGTTGAATGGACCACTAAGAAAACTAAGATCCAGCCCCCAACCCGCCCAGATTCCTATAAGCACTTCATACCTCGCTATAAGACTTCTACACAGACCAAGGTTGGCAACACATTACTCTGCAGGGTAGGGGTTTGTCCCAGGTGAATATGGGCCCTCAGGCCTTCTCAGGGTTTCCTTCAGGCCTTTGAGGCCTGTTCCCAGAGGAGCAGCCTTCATTCCATCCTGTACCTACACTCCCTCTATCCCAAGGCACATATGTATGACCTGGTAGTATTCTGAGGCTCCCACCTCTGCCTTTCACCAGCGGTGCCCCTTCCTAACCTCCCTATACTCCAGGGACACCAAGCACCTGTGGCTCTCATGCATCTCACCTGCCTCCCTACCTATAGCCTGGCTCTCTTACCCGAGCACAGCGTGTGTTGAAGTAGCTCACCTGTGCCCTGCTCGGCACCAACTTTCTGGGTCTGCTTCCTCGTAGAGTGTCTCCTTTCCTCCCACTGGCAGGGAGCAGCTGCGACTGAAGACTGTTGTGGGCTACAATGGGAACGGGCGGGCCAACATGGTCTGGAGGCCTGACACAGGTAGGGCTGTCGTGTCCAGCCACATCCTTGAGACCAGGACCTCTACAGAAATGAGCACTGGGTGTCCAATGGCAGTCTCTAGAAGGCAGGGCACTGATACAGGTTCTTGTAATGCCAAGGCCCCATGAGGTGTGTCTGCTGATAGTGACAGGGACATTGTCACCATCCCTCCCTGCAGGCTTCTTTGCCTACACGTGTGGCCGCCTGGTGGTGGTTGAGGACCTGCATTCTGGCACCCAGCAGCACTGGCTTGGCCACCCCGAGGAGATCTCTACACTGGCACTCAGCCAGGATGGCCAGGTATATGCCCTCTCCCCATTCCTTGCACCTACCTGCCCATGTCCAGAGCCACAATGTGCAGCAGAACCTGGCTCTTAACTCAGTCTGAAGGACACCATCCCAGCCTCCCTTCTACCCAGAGCAAGGGCAGGCATAGGTAGCACTAACTGCCCACCCTCTATCTGCCAGGTCTTGGCCTCTGCCTCCTGCCGTGGCAACACAGCTACCCACTGCCAGATCTGCATCTGGGATGTTCCTACGGGCTTTTGTCAACACCTTCTTTCCCATCATGACACGGCTGTGCAGGCCCTGGCCTTCTCGCCGGTTGATGAGTTCCTTGTGACATTGGGTGGGTGGGCTGGGTAGGCAGAGGGAGGGTTTCCTGGGAGCCTTGGTGGCTGGACTGCCTGACATGCCTGCCATGCATCTCCCAGGGGACTACAGTGACTGCACTCTCGCCCTGTGGAGCACGGCCACCTATGAACTCCTGTCTTCTACGTGCCTTCCAGAGCCCATGCATGGTGTGGCCTTCAACCCCTGGGATGCCAATGAGCTCACCTGTGTGGGCACAGGTGCCATTACCTTCTGGCTCCTGCAGCAGTGTGGAACAGACACCAGCCTCCAGGTGCCAGACTGCTAGCTCAGACGTTCAGTTCATGGGCAACTTCAGACAGTGGAGTCTGGTGTGCCCTGGGGCATCACTGACCCATAGTCACCTTGTACAGGTTCACCGAGAACCAGTCCCTGAGGTGGTGGGGGCAGCTGAGTTGACTTCCCTTTGCTATGGGCCCAGCCCCTTGCTCTACTGTGGCTCCAGCTCTGGCCAAGTCTGTGTCTGGGATACTAGTGCTGGCCACTGCTTCTTAACCTGGGAGGCAGATGATGGCGAGATTGGTAAGTACCTGACAACCCCTATGGGTTGTACCAAGCAATGCCACTTGGGGGATGGTCAGCTCATATCCACTCTGTATCGTAGGAGTGCTGTTGTGCTCAGGCTCAAGACTAGTCAGTGGCAGTAACACGAGGCGGCTGCGCTTGTGGGCTGTGGGGGTTGTGCCAGAGCTGAGGTGCAAGGGCTCAAGTGCCAGGTGAGCTGCTATGGCCTCTACCCTAAACCATTCCCTTCAGTTTTGGCTGCAAGGTCTCAGGTCCTTAATGGGTCTCAGCAGCCAGCACTCCTTTGGGGCCACAGTTGCCAGGTGAAGCTTACCCTACATTTCTGTTACCAACTGGGCCCCTCCTTGAGGACACATTGGGGCATGACCTGAGCCCTGAAGGCTGCAGACCCAAGGACGGACAGGCTTGGTGCCTCCACTCACAAGAGCATAGCACTAGACATGATGGTTGCTAGTGCCCCTATTACCTGACACACTGGACTGGCTCATGTCTCCAACAAGATCACTGTCCCCCTTTCCCCTACTCCCTAAGGTCCAGTTCTGTTTACATGGAACATGAGTTGACGCTGGATGGGGCTGTTGTAAGTGCTAGCTTTGACAGTGGCATGGACATGGGTATAGTAGGCACTACAGCTGGCACACTCTGGTACATCAGCTGGATGGAGGGCACTAGTACCCGCCTCATCAGTGGCCACAGAAGCAAGGTGAGCCTACCGGACTGGTAAGAGAAGATAGGATTTCCACCCCAGCCAGGGCAAGGCAGGGCAGACTAAGGCAGCAAGCCCATCAAGCACCCTCCTTTCTCCCTCTAATCATCTTGAATTTTCAATTTATGAGTAACAATTGGGAAGACTAAGATGGGGCCTCTGCACTGTCTACACCAGGCAAGGGCCTGACTGCCTCTATAGTGCTTCCAAATCCTTCACTCTTGCTTTTTTCCTTGTAACTTTTTAAATTTATTTTTTGAGGCAAGAGTCACTATGTAGCTATAGCTGGCCTGGTCTATATAGTAGACCTCAAATTTGCAGAGTGCTGGGATTAAAGGCATTTGCCACTTGTTAAATAAGCCACATCATCTGCCTAGCCCAGGCTAGCTCTGCTGGCATCACCCAGTGGGGTCTAACCTTGGGGTACGGGTAGCAGGTTCTGGTTGAATTAGCTTAGATCTGGTTGGACCTGGTCTGGGTGTGTCAGGTGTGGGCAGGCCAGTCATTTTTTAGGACTGTTGAGATTTACTCATGTTGGACATTCATGTGAATGGATGATGCATGTGGCCTATGTCTGGCTCCCTTCACTGTCCCATCACATTTCTAGGTTCATTCAGGCTGTGTTTATGTCCTGTCTTTTCTTTTCTCTTTTTTTGGTCTTTTTGAGACAGAATCACCCTGTAGCCCCAACTGGCCTGACACTTGCTGTGTAGACCAGGCTGGCCTGAATCTCACAGAGACCCACGTGTCTCTTCCTCCCAAGTACTGGGATTAAAGGCATGTGCCACCACACCTAACTTTTCTGTTCTTTCTTTCTTTCTTTTTTTTTTGGTCTTTTTGAGACAGGGTCTCCCTGTAGCCCCAGCTGTCCTGCAACTCACTATGTAGACCAGGCTGGCCTTGAACTCACAGAGATCCGCCTGCCTCTGCCTCCCAAGTACTGGGGTTAAAGGTGTGTGCCACCACGCCCGGCTTCTTTTCTTTTTTTTTAAATACTTATTTACTTATTTTTTATTATTATTTTATGGTATGCATGTATTGCCTGCATGTAGATAAGTGCACCCATGTTGTGCAAAGCCCGAGGAGGATAGAAGAGCCTGTCGGATCCCCTGGAACTGGAGTTACAGACAATTGTTAGCTTCCATATGGGTACTGGGATTTGAACCTGGGTCTTCTGCAAGAACAGTCAGTGTTCTTAACTGCTGAGCCATCTCTCCAGCCCCTCTGTTCCTTCTTTATGTGGATGGTCTCCCATTGTTCAGATAGACCACATGCTTACCCATCTACCCATGTGTGAGAGTCCAGGTCATGGGTCCTTGAGCTGTACTGGCAGTCACCAGCTGAATTCACAACCCTGAATTATCTCTCAAAGAATACATGTAGCATGAGTTCATACTGAACCTCATGGCTCATGGCATCTGTATCACCTTTCTCCAAAAATCCTGATTCTCAATGATGTCTGTGGGATAACATGTCTGCTTTTTCCATGGAGAAACATTCAGTGGCCTCGGGAAAACCTCAAGGCCTCCCATGTCATGAGCACTGGAGACAACCAAAGGTCCTCTTGTGCTTGTGCCTTCAGTCTGTAGCCTTCTGGAGGCTTGTGATGACACTGAATATTTTAGGTTTTGTCAGCATTTTCCATGGGTTTTCAAGTCCCACTTACTGGTGGGTTCCTCTCAGTCTAGGGAAGCAGCATGTGTCTTCACTCCACATGGAAGTAACTGGGCCAGGTGGGCTTGGGCAAGAGACAGATGTTCCTATGTGGACAGCCTGGTCCTGGAAGCCAGGCTAGGAAGGGGCTAGCTGAGTATCCTCTCAGATATGCTGGGGTCCCACAGGTGAACGAAGTGGTATTTAGCCCCAGCGAGTCTCACTGTGCCACTTGTGGTGAAGATGGGAGTGTGAGGGTATGGTCCTTGGCCAGCATGGAGCTGGTGATCCAGTTCCAGGTGCTGAATCAGGTAGGTGGGACACATTGGGGGAATTGATGTATGCTCAGAGCAGAGCCTAGGCTGTGTGCTGAGGTTGCCCCTGTCACCTCCCTGGAGGAATTCTAATGTTTCCCCATCATGGGACCCCAGAGCTGCCTCTGCCTTGCCTGGAGCCCCTCATCCTCTGGACGCCCAGAGCAGCAGCAGGTGGTGGCAGGCTACAGTGATGGCACACTGCGTGTCTTCAGCATCTCTCGTACTGCAATGGAGCTCAAGATGCACCCACACCGCACTGCCCTGACGGCCATTGCCTTCTCCAGTGATGGTAAGGAAATGGGGCCACACATGTGCCAAACTTGTCTAGCCCATGTTATACCTCCAAGCCAACTAGGCTCACAGGGTGGCAACGTGGTCTCTATTTGGCCCAGGTCATACCATTCTCTCTGGTGACAAGGATGGGCTTGTGGCTGTAAGCCACACCCGCACAGGAATGACCTTCCGTGTGTTCAATGACCACTGGGGTGCCCCAATCTCTGCTATCCAGAGCACAAGCAAAGAGGTAAGGTAACCTGAGGTGCCATGGGGAGGGTCCTGAGGTACTGCAGGGAGATGAGCATGTTGGTTAGCAGGTACTCACAACCCTCATTCCTCCCAGTATGGAGACCTAGGGGTGGAGGGTGTAGATCTGTGGCTGGCTGCGAGTGGGGACCAGCGGGTCAGTATCTGGGCTTCTGACTGGTCCCTGAATCACTGTGCGCTTCTGGAATGGTTGAGCTTCCCTGCACCTGTCATCACTGAGGTAAGAGTCCCAGAGGGCACGTGGGTGGGGCCTGGGGATTGTACAGCTCAGCATAATACACTGAACCTCTCATAGGCTCCAGGCCTCCTGCCACCCTCCCTTGCTGCCTTCTGCCCTTGGGATAGGGAACTACTGGTGTGTGTGGGCCTTGGTGCATATGAAGAGGTAGTTTTCTACAGCCTCCGCCAAAAGCAGGTTTGTGCACCTATGTAGTGGGTACTGCAGTGTGGGCATCCAGGGCTGTGCAGCACAGGGTCACAGGACCATGGAGTCTGGGTTTGGGCCCCCAGCCAAAGACCCTTGTCTCATACTGACTTTCCACAGGTGGTGCAAAAGACACCTCTTCCCTTCTTTGCCACATCCCTGAGCCTGTCCCCAGGGACCCACCTCATGGCTGTTGGCTTTGCTGGTGAGTGCTGCTGGACACAGACCTGGGCTGTTTGAGGGGGGCGAGCAGTAAGCTGGCTTATCCTGTGCTCACCTCTGTGCCTTGGGATCCCTGTCTTATTAATAGGGTGAAGACAGTTGCCCTAGAGAGGGGCCTGTGCTCAAAGATAAGGTGTAAGGTGCCAGCTGTAGCACCTGCAGTGGGACTGGTAGAGTACAGTTCTGATGGCCCTCAGCTCCAGCAGACTCTGGGACATAGATAGCATGGTCCTAACCCCTCTCATCAAAGGTTCCCTGCTGCCAGCACTGGGTCAGGCAAGGGACATAGCCAGCAGGATTGAGGGGGTCCTTCTAGGTGCTGTCTGGCATTCTAACCCTATTATCTGCCCACAGAGTGTATGCTAAGGCTCCTGGACTGTGAATCAGGGACTGCCCAGGACTTTGCAGGTCATGATGACTCAGTTCACCTGTGCAGGTTCACCCCATCTGCCAGACTGCTCTTCACAGCTGCCCACAATGAGATCCTGGTGTGGGAAGTCACCAACTCCTGAGCTTCTGCTGGGAACCAAGCAGAAAAGCCAGGTTGTGGATGGTGGTATGCTGAGCCAGGATGGCTGGGACAGGCAAAGACTGCACAAATCATCGGAACTAAACTATTTCAAAATTGGGTGATCTGAAAAGACTTAGGGAGGCTGAGGGAGCTGCTCAGTGGTGGTAGAGCAATGGCTTTGATACGAGTTTGATCCCCCAGAGCTCCCCCTCCCCCACAAAGACAGCATACTTGGTAGGTCTTACACCTTAAAGTTTTAGTGTGTTTATTTTGTACATTTTCAATAAATAATGGGAGATCCTAGCAGACAGCCTGAGAGGGTGGGTTCGGACCTCCGTCCGTGTAGCAGCTGGGATCTCATTAGACCACCATAGAGTGCTGGGTTCTGGCCTCCAACTACCAGAGGGCCTGAGAACCCAGGGGACTGCCTGACAGCACCTGGATCCTGCCTCCATGGAGGTGAGCAGCTGAGATCCTAGCAGACAGCCTGAGCTGAGCGGGGCGGGGCGGGGTGGGTTGCGGTTCTGAGCTCCATCGGGGTAGCAATAAAGCTCAAAATCAACACTGGACGAAGCCCTAGTGACAAGAACTCCTGGCAATTGAACAACACACTCCTAAACAATGAGTGGGTCAAAGGAGAAATTAAGAAAGAAATAAAAGTATTCCTGAAATTTAATGAAAAGGACAGTACAACACAACACAACCTTTGGGACACATTAAAAGCAGTCCTAAGAGGGAAGTGCCTACATTAAAAAATTAAGAAAAGCCCAAATAAATGACCTAACACTGCAACTCAAGGCACTGAACAGGCAACAAATGAAACCCAAACCCAGCAGAAGAGAAGAAATAACAAAAGTCAGAGCAGAAATTGAAATAGAAACAAAGAAAACTGTAAGAATTAATCTAAGAGCTGGTTCTTTGAAAAGCTAAACAAGATAGACCCTTAGCCCAGTTAACCAAAAGAAAGCAAATACAAAACAAAATCAGAGATGAAAGGGGAAACATCACGACACCCAAAAGATCCAGACCATTATAAGAGAATATGAAAAACCTATATGCTACTAAATCTGAAAGTCTTAAAGAAATGGATGGATATCTGAAATCATGGGACCCTCCAAAGTTAAACCAAGAAGAGATAAACAGTTTAAACAGACCTATAACATATAAGGAAATTGAAACAGTAAATACAAAGCCTCCCAATTTAAAAAAGCCCAGGATGGATTTACAGCAGAATTCTGCCAGGCATTTAAAGACCTCCAACCAATACTACTTAAGTTATTCAAAGTGACAGAAACAGGAAGAACTCCCAAATTCCTTCTATGAAGCCAGCATCACTCTAATACCCAAACCAGGTAAAGGCACAACCAAAAAAAACTATAGCTAGACCCATATCCTTAATGAATGTAGATGCAAAAATTCTCAACAAAAAATACTTGCAAACCACATACAGACACATCAAAAAGATCATTCACCATGATCAAATAGGCTTTATCCCAGAGATGCAGGGATGGTTCAGTATACACA